GAAGAAGAAAAGAAAAAAAAGGGAGAATAGTGGGAGGGAAATGAAAGGAAGAAGAAGAAGAAGAAATGGAAAGAAAGAAAGAAGAAAAGGAGAATAAAATGAAGAAGAAGAAGAAGAAGGGAAGGTGAAGATGGAAAAGGAGAAGAAAGAAAAAATGAAATGGAAGAAGAAGAAGAAAGGAAGGAAAGAAATGAAGAAGAAAGGGAAATGGGAGAAGGAAAAGAAAAAAGAAGAAAATGGGATGAAGAGAAAAGAAAAGAAGAAGAATGGGAAGAAAAATGAAAAGGAAAAGAAGAAGAAGAAAAGGAGAGAAAAGGTGAAAGGAAATGAAATGAAGAAGAAAGGGAATAATCAGGTGACAGGAAAGAAATGAAGAAGAAAGGAGAATGGTGGAGGGAAATGAAAGGAAGAAGAAGAAAGGAGGAAGGAAATGAAAGGAAGAAGAAAGGAAAGAAATGAAAAGAAAAAGGAGGAATGAAGAGAAGAAAAAGAAGAAGAAGAGAAAGGAATGGGAGGAGAAGGAAAGAAGAAGAAAAAGGAGAAAGGTGACAGGAAATGAAATGAAGAAGAAAGGGAGAAGAAGGTGACAAAGGAAAGAAAAGACAAAAGGGATAATGGGAGACAGGAAATGAAAGAAGAAGAAAAGAAGAAGAAGAATGGACAAGAAAAGAAAAGAGGAGAATGGGAAGAAGGAAAGAAGAAGAAGAAAAGAAAAAAATGTCAGGTGACAGGAAATGAAAGGAAGAAGAAAGGGGATAGTCAGAATGAAATGAAAGGAAGAAAAGGAAATCAGGGAGAGGAAAAGAAATGAAAAGGATGACAGGAAATGAAAAAAGAAGTGAGGAGAAATGAAATGAAGAAGAAAAGGAAATCAGGTGACAGGAAATGAAAGGAAGAAAAGATAAAAGGGACAGGAAATGAAATGAAGAAGAAAGGGATAAAAGGAGAATGAAATGAAAGGAAGAAGAAGATATAGAGGTGACAGGAAGAGAAAGAAAAAGAAAAGGGAGGAAATGACAGGAAATGAAGAAGAAGAAAGGGAGAAAAGATAAAAGGAAATGAAAGAAGAAGAAAAAGAAGAAGAAGTGAGAAGAAATGAAATGAAGAAGAATGGGATATAAAGGAGACAGGAAATGAAAGAAGAAGAAGAAGAAGAAGAAGAAATGAAAGGAGAGAAAAGAAAAGGAGAATGGGGACAGGAAATGAAAGGAAGAAGAAAGGGAATAAAGGGAAAGGAAATGAAATGAAGAAGAAAGGGAGGAGAAGTCAGGTGAGAGGAAATGAAAGGAAGAAGAAGAAGAAAAATGAAGAAGAAAGGAGAAGAAAGAATGGGAAGAAAAGAAATGAAGAAGAAAGGGAATAGGAGAATGGGACAGGAGAAATGAAATGAAGAAGAAAGGGAAGAAGAAGAAAGGAAATGAAAGAAGAAGAAAAGGAAAAAGAAATGAAATGAAAGGAAGAAGAAGATAAGTCAGGTGACAGGAAATGAAAGGAAGAAGAAAGGGAATAAGAAGTGACAGGAAATGAAAGAAGAAGAAAGGGGAAGAAGAACAAGAAATTAAATGGAGAGGAAATGAAAAGAAGAAGAATGGGAAGAAGAAAGGGGAATAAAAGGTGACAGGAAATGAAAAGAAGAAGAAAGGGATAAAATCAGGTGACAGGAAATGAAGAAGAAAGAAGAAGAAATGAAAGGAAGAAGAAGGAAGGAAAGGTGAAAGGAAATGAAGAAAGAAAAGAGAATGGGAGGACAGAAATGAAAGGAAGAAGAAAGGGAAGAAGAAGGTGACAGGAAAGAAATGAAGAAGAAAGGGGAGAAATGACAGGAAATGAAATGAAGAAGAAAGGGATATAATCAGGTGACAGTGGAAAGGAAAGGGAAGAAGAAAGGGAAGAAGAAGAAGACAGGAAATGAAAAGAAGAAGAAAGGGAAAAAAGGAGGTGACAGGAAATGAAATGAAGAAGAAAGGGGATAGAAGTGACAGGAAAGAAAGAAGAAGAAAGGGATATGGAAAGGAGAGAAATGAAATGAAGAAGAAAGGATAGAAAAGGTGACAGGAAATGAAATGAAGAAGAAAGGGATAGGAAAAAGACAGGAAATGAAATGAAGAAGAAAGGGATAAAAAGTGAGAAAGAAAGGAAGAAGAATGAAGACAGGGAAAGAAAGAAGAAGAAAGGATAAAGGACAGGAAATGAAAAGAAGAAAAGGAGAATGGGAGAGAAAGAAATGAAGAAGAAGAGGGAATCAGGTGACAGGAAATGAAAAGAAGAAGAAAGGGATAATGGGAGGAAATGAAATGAAAAGGTGAAGAAAGAAAGAAGAAGAAAGGGATATAAAAGGACAGGAAATGAAATGAAGAAGAAAGGGATATAATCAGGGGACAGGAAATGAAAGGAAGAAGAAAGGGATAGAATCAGGTGAAGGGAAATGAAATGAAGAAGAAAGGAGAATGAAAGGAAGAGATAGGAAGAAAGGTGAAGGAAAGAAATGAAGAAGAAAAGGGATATAGTCAGGTGACAGGAAATGAAATGAAGAAGAAAGGGATAATTGTCAGGTGACAAGAAATGAAAAAAAGAAAAAAAGTGACAGGAAATGAAAGGAAGAAAAAGATAAAAAAGGAGGAAATGAAATGAAGAAGAAAGGGATATAAAGGTGACAAAAAATGAAAAAAGAAGAAAGGGAGGAGAATGAGGTGAAGAAAATGAAATGAAGAAGAAAGGGAGAAAAAGTCAGGTGAAGGAGAATGAAATGAAGAAGAAAGGGAAGAATCAGGTGAAGGGAAAGGAGAGAAAGAAAAAAGGAGAATGGGAGGTGAAAGGAAAAGAAGAAGAAGAAGAAGAAAGGGATAAAGTCAGGTGAAAAGGAAATGAAATGAAGAAGAAAGGAAGAAGTCAGAAGAATGGAAATGAAAGAAAAGAAGAAAGGGATAATGGGAGGAGGAAATGAAATGAAAAGAAAGGGAAGAAGGTGAAGAAATGAATGGGAAGAGAATGAAAGGAAATGAAGAAGAATGAAAGAAGAAAGGGATAAAAAGAGAATGACATGAAGAAATGAAATGAAGAAAAAAAGAAGATAAGAAAGGAGAAAGGAAATGAAATGAAGAAGAAAGGGAAAAAGGTGACAGGAAATGAAATGAAGAAGAAAGGGAGGATAAGTCAGGTGACAAGAAATGAAATGAAGAAGAAAGGGATATAGTCAGGTGACAGGAAATGAAAGGAAGAAGAAGGATAAAGGTGACAGGAAATGAAATGAAGAAGAAAGGATAAAGGAGGTGACAGGAAATGAAATGAAGAAGAAAGGGAAGGTGACAGGAAATGAAATGAAGAAGAATGGGATATAATCAGGTGACAGGAAATGAAGAAGAAAGAAAAAGGTGAGAGGAAATGAAAGGAAGAAGGAGAATAGGGAGGAGAAAGGAAATGAAATGAAGAAGAAAGGGATATAGAAAGGTGAGAGAAAAAATGAAGAAGAAAGGGATATGGGAGACAGGAAATGAAATGAAGAAGAAAGGGATATAATCAGGTGAGAGGAAATGAAAAAAAGAAGAAAGGGATATAGGATCAGGGAAGAAGAAAGAAGAAGAAATGAAAAGAGAAGAAAAGATAAATGACAGGAAGAATGGGAGGAGGAAATGAAATGAAGAAGAAAGGGAGAAGTCAGGGAGAGGAAATGAAAAGAAGAATGGGGAGGAAGGTGACAGGAAATGAAAAGAAGAAGAAAGGGGATATAAAAAGAAGAAGGAAATGAAATAAAAAGAAGAAAGGAGAGAAGAAGAAGGAAATGAAATGAAGAGAAATGGGAAAAGATGGGAAAAGGAGAATGAAAGAAGAATGGGAAAAAAGGTGAAGAAGAAGAAATGAAGAAAAAGATATAGTCAGTGAAAGGAAATGAAAGAAGAAAGAAAGGATAGAAGAAGAAGACAGGAAATGAAATGAAGAAGAAAAAGGAGAATGGGGAGGTGAAAGAAAGGAAAAGAAGAAGAAGAGGGATAAAAAGGTGACAGGAAATGAAAGGAAGAAGAAAGGAAGAATGGTGAGGAAATGAAATGAAGAAGAAAGGATAGAATGGGGAGGAGAAAGAAAGGAAATGAAGAAGAAAGAATGGAAAGGAGAGAAAAAATGAAAAAAGAAGAATGGGAGGAGAAATGAAAAAAGAAGAAGAAGAAGAAGGAGAGAAAAGAAAAGGAGAATGGGAGGATAAAAGACAGGAAATGAAATGAAGAAAGGGATATAATCAAAAAGGAGAATGACAGGGAAATTAAATGAAGAAGAAAAGGATATAGTCAGGTGAGAGGAAATGAAAGGAAGAAGAAAGGGATAGAAGGTGACAGGAAATGAAAAGAAGAAGAAAGGAGATAATCAGGTGACAGGAAATGAAATGAAGAAGAAAGGGATATAAAGGTGACAGGAAAGAAATGAAGAAGAAAAGGATAGTCATGTGAGGAGAATGAAAGGAAGAAGAAAGGGATATAAAGGTGACAGGAAATGAAATGAAGAAGAAAGGAGATCAGGGGACAAGAAATGAAATGAAGAAGAAAGGGAAGTGACAGGAAATTAAATGAAGGAAAAATGAAATGAAGAAGAAAGGGATAGAAATGAAAAGAAGAAAGGAAATGAAAAAAGGATCAGGACAATGAATGAAATTAAAAGAAGAAAAGGATATAATCAGGTGACAGAAAAAAATGAAGAAGGGGAATGGGTGACAGGAAATGAATGAAGAAAAGATAAATGGAAAGGAAAGAAATGAAGAAGAAAGGAGAAGGAAATGAAAGGAAGAAGAAAGGGATATAAATCAGGTGACAGGAAATGAAAAAAGAAGAAGAAGAAAGGGAGAAGAAGAAGAAGAGAGGAAAATGAAATAAAAGAAAAAAGAAGAAAGGGACGGAAATGAAATGAGAGGAAAAGAAAGGTGAAGAAAAGAAAAAGAGAAAAAGGATATAAGGTGGGAGGAAATGAAAGGGAAGAAGAAGAAGAAAGGGAGAAAATCAAAAAAATGGGAGGAGTCAGGTGACAGGAAATGAAAAGAAGAAGGAAAGGAGAAAAAAAGGTGACAGGAAATGAAATGAAGAAGAAAGGGAGATAATCAGGTGACAGGAAATGAAAAGAAGAAGAAAGGGATAAATCAGGTGGAGAAATGAAAAAGAAGAAGGGAAGAAAGGATAATCAGGTGAGAGAAATGAAATGAAGAAGAAAGGGATAAAAAATGAAAGAAGAAGAAAGGGATATAAGACAGAAATGAAATGAAGAAGAAAGGGAATAATCAGGTGAAAGGAAAGAAATGAAGAAGAGGGGGATATAAAAGGTGACAGGAAATGAAAGGAAGAAGAATGGGATATAAAGTGACAGGAAATGAAAGGAAGAAGAAAGGGACAGAAGGTGAAGGAAATGAAAAAAGAAGAAGAAAGGATATAGTCAGGTGACAGGAAATGAAATGAAGAAGAAAGGATATAATCAGGTGACTGGATATGAAATGAAGAAGAAAGAAATATAGTCAGGTGAGAGGAAATGAAATGAAGAAGAAAGGGATATAGTCAGGTGACAGGAAATGAAATGAAGAAGAAAGGGATATAGTGACAGGAAATGAATTAAAGAAGAAAGGATATAATCAGGTGACAGGAAATGAAATGAAGAAGAAAAGGGATATAATCAGGTGACAGGAAATGAAATGAAGAAGAAAGGGAATATAGTCATGTGGGAGGAAATGAAAATGAAGAAGAAGGGAAATGAAAGGAAGAAGAAAGGATATGAATCAGGTGACAGGAAATGAAATGAAGAAGAATGGGATCAGGTGACAGGAAATGAAAATGAAGAAGAAAGGATATAAGTCAGGTGACAGGAAATGAAAAAGAAGAAAGGGATATAATCAGGTGACAGGAAATGAAATGAAGAAGAAAGGGATATAATCAGGTGACAGGAAGAAGAAAGGGATAAAAAGTGACAGGAAATGAAAGGAAGGAAAGGGAAATCAGGTGAGGGAAAGGAAGAAGAAAGGGAGAGGTGACAGGAAATGAAAGAAGAAAAGGGGATATAGTCAGGTGACAGGAAATGAAGAATGAAGTGAAGGAAATGAAAGGATATAATCAGGTGACAGAAATGAAAGGAAGAAGAAAGGGATATAAGGTGACAGAAATTAAATGAAGAAGAAAGGGATATAGTCAGGTGACAGGAAATGAAATGAAGAAGAAAGGGATATAGTCAGGTGACAGGAAATGAAATGAAGAAGAAAGGGATATAATCAGGTGACAGGAAATGAAATGAAGAAGAAAGGGATATAGTCAGGTGACAGGAAATGAAATGAAGAAGAAAGGGATATAGTCAGGTGACAGGAAATGAAAGGAAGAAGAAAGTGATATAATCAGGTGACAGGAAATGAAATGAAGAAGAAAGGGATATAATCAGGTGACAAAGGAAATGAAGAAGAAAGGATATAGTCAAAGGAAATGAAATGAAGAAGAAAGGGATATAATCAGGTGACAGGAAATGAAATGAAGAAGAAAGGGATATAGTCAGGTGACAGGAAATGAAATGAAGAAGAAAGGGATATAATCAGGTGACAGGAAATGAAATGAAGAAGAAAGGGATATAGTCAGGTGACAAGAAATTAAATGAAGAAGAAAGGGAGGATAAATCAGGTGACAGGAAATGAAATGAAGAAGAAAGGGAGATAAGAAAGGTGACATGGGAAATGAAATGAAGAAGAAAGGGATATAGTCAGGTGAAGAAATAAATGAAGGAAATGTCAGGTGAAGAAAGAAGAAGAAAGGGATATAGTCAGGTGACAGGAAATGAAAGGAAGAAGAAAGGGATATAAAGGTGACAGAAATGAAATGAAGAAGAAAGGGGATATAATCCAGGTGACAGGAAATGAAATGAAGAAGAAAGGGATATAATCAGGTGACAGGAAATGAAATGAAGAAGAATGGGAGGAGACATGGGAAGAAGAAATGAAATGACAGGAAAGAAAGAAGAAGAAAGGGATAATCAGGTGACATGAAATGAAAAGAAGAAGAAAGGGAGGATAATCAGGTGACAAAATGAAATGAAGAAGAAAGGGATATAATCAGGTGACAGGAAATGAAATGAAGAAGAAATGAAGAAGATGGGATATAATCAGGTGACAGGAAATGAAATGAAGAAGAAAGGGATATAGTCAGGTGACAGGAAATGAAATGAAGAAGAAAGGATATAGTCAGGTGACAGGAAATGAAATGAAGAAGAAAGGGATATAATCAGGTGACAGGAAATGAAATGAAGAAGAAAGGGATATAATCAGGTGACAGAGGAAATGAGAAAATGAAGAAGAAAGGGATATAAAAAGAGGTGACAGGAAATGAAATGAAGAAGAAAGGGATATAAATGGTGACAGGGAAAATGAAGAAGAAAGGGAAATGATGAAATGAAGAAGAAAGGGAGATAATCAGGTGAGAGGAAATGAAATGAAGAAGAAAGGGATATAGAAGGTGACAGGAAATGAAATGAAGAAGAAAGGGATATAGTCATGTGACAGGAAAGAAAAATGAAGAAGAAAGGGATATAATCAGGTGACAGGAAATGAAATGAAGAAGAAAGAAGAAGTCAGGTGACAGGAAAATGAAATGAAGAAAGGGAAGGTGACAGGAAATGAAAGGAAGAAGAAAGGATATAATCAAATGAGGAAAGGACAGAAATGAAGAAGAAAGGGAGTCAGGAGAGGAAATGAAAGAAGAAGAAAGGGATAATGTGACAGGAAATGAAATGAAGAAGAAAGGGATAATAGTCAAATGACATGAAAATGAAAGGAAGAAGAAAGGGATATAGAAGGTGAAAGGAAATGAAATGAAGAAAGAAAGGGGAGAAATCAGGTGACAGGAAATGAAAGGAAGAAGAAAGGGATATAAGGGTGACATTAAAAATGAAAAGAAGAAGAAGAAGAAGAAAGGATAAGGTGAAGAAATGAAAGAAGAAGAAATGGATATAAAGGTGACAGGAAATGAAATGAAGAAGAAGAAGAAAGGAAATGAAAAGGAAGAAGAAAGGGATAGAAGGTGACAGGAAATGAAATGAAGAAGAAAGGGATATAATCAGGTGACAGGAAATGAAATGAAGAAGAATGGGAATCAGGATGACAGAAATGAAATGAAGAAGAAAAATGAAAAGGTGACAAGAAAAAAGAAGAAGAAAGTAATATAGTCAGGTGACAGGAAATGAAAAAGGAAGAAGAAAGGGATATAATCAGGTGACAGGAAATGAAATGAAGAAGAAAGGGATATAATCAGGTGACAGGAAATGAAATGAAGAAGAAAGGATATAATCAGGTGACAGGAAGGAAATGAAAAGAAGAAGAGAAGGAAATAAAGAAGAAGGTGACAGGAAATGAAAAAGAAGAAGAAAGGGATATAATCAGGTGACAGGAAATGAAATGAAGAAGAAAGGGAGTCAGTTGACATAAAAGAAGGTGAGAAAGGGGAAATGAAAGGAAGAAAAGAAAGGATATAATCAGGTGACAGGAAAATGAAATGAAGAAGAAAGGGATATAATCAGGTGACAGGGAAATAAATGAAAGAAGAAAGGGATATAATCAGGTGACAGGAAATGAAATGAAGAAAAAGGGAAGACAGGAAAATGAAGAAGAATGGGATATAATCAGGTGACAAGGAATTAAATGAAGAAGAAAGGATATAGTCAGGTGACAGGAAATGAAAAGAAAGGAAGAATGACAGGGAGAGGAAATGAAAAGGAAAGGAAGAAGAAAGGGATATAATCAGGTGACAGAGAGTGAAGGAAATGAAGAAAGAAAGGGATATAATCAGGTGACAGGGAGAGGACAGGGAAAGAAATTAAAGAAGAAAGGGATAAATGACAGGGAAATGAAAGGAAGAAAAGAAGGGATGAAGAAGGGAAATAGTCAGGTGACAGAAATGAAATGAAGAAGAAAGGGATATAATCAGGTGACAGGAAATGAAATGAAGAAGAAAGGATATCAGGTGACAGGAAATGAAAAGGAAGAAGAAAGGGATATAGTCAGGTGACAGGAAAGGAAATGAAGGAAAAGAAGAAAGGGATATAATCAGGTGACAGGAAATGAAATGAAGAAGAATGGGATATAATCAGGAAATGAAGAAGAAAGGAAATGACAGGAAATGAAAAGAAGAAGAATGGGATATAATCAGGTGACAAGAAAGAAATGAAGAAGAAAGGAAATGAATGAAAGAAATGAAGAAGAATGGGATATAATCAGGTGACAGGAAATGAAATGAAGAAGAAGTGGGAAATAATCAGGTGACAGGAAATGAAATGAAGAAGAAAAGGATATAATCAGGTGACAGGAAATGAAATGAAGAAAGGATATAGTCAACAGGAAATGAAAGGAAGAAGAAAGGGATATAAAGGTGACAGGGGGAAATGAAAATAAAGGAAGAATAAATGGGATATAGTCAGGTGACAGGAAATGAAATGAAGAAGAAAAGGTGGGAAAGGAAAATGAAGAAAAAGGATCAGGTGACAGGAAATGAAATGAAGAAGAAAGAAAGGGAAATAAATGAAGAAGAAAGGGATATAGTCAGGTGACAGGAAATGAAAGGAAGAAGAAACAGGATAAGGTGACAGGTGAAGAAAGGAAATGACAGGAAATGAAAGAAGAAAGGGATATAATCAGGTGACAGGAAATGAAAGGAAGAAGAAAGGGATATAGTCAGGTGAGAGGAAATGAAATGAAGAAGAAAGGGATATAATCAGGTGACAGAAATGAAATGAAGAAGAAAGGGATATAAGGTGACAGGAAATTAAATGAAGAAGAAAGGGATATAGTCAGAGACAGGAAATGAAATGAAGAAGAAAAGGATATAGTCAGGTGACAGGGAAATGAAATGAAAGAAGAAAGGATATAATCAGGTGACAGGAAATGAAATGAAGAAGAAAGGGATATAATCATGACAGGAAAGAAATGAAGAAGATATAATCAGGTGACAGGAAATGAAATGAAGAAGAAAGTGGGAAATAGTCAGGTGACAGGAAATGAAATGAAGAAGAAAGGGATATAGTCAGGTGACAGGAAATGAAATGAAGAAGAAAGGATATAATCAGGTGACAGGGAAATGAAATGAAGAAGAAAGGGGATATAATCAGGTGACAGTTGAAGGAAATGAAAGGAAGAAGAAAGGGGATATAATCAGGGAGAATGAATGGTGAAGGGAAATGACAAGAAATTAAAGAAGAAAAGGGATATAATCAGGAAATGACAGGAAATGAAATGAAGAAGAAAGGATATAATCAGGTGACAAGAAAATTAAATGAAGAAGAAAGGGATATAAATGAAAGGAAATGAAAAAGAGAATGGGATAGTCAGGTGACAGGAAATGAAATGAAGAAGAAAGGGATATAGTCAGGTGATATAAGCTAGGTGACAGAAATGAAATGAAGAAGAAAAGGATATAATCAGGTGACAGGGAAATGAAATGAAGAAGAAAGGGATATAATCAGGTGACAGGAAATAAATGAAGAAGAAAGGGGAAATGAAAGAAGAAAAAGGGATATAGTCAGGTGACAGGAAATGAAATGAAGAAGAAAGGGATAAGTCAGTGACAGAAATGATAAATGAAGAATGAAAAGGGATATATAGTCAGGTGACAGGAAATGAAAGGAAGAAGAAAGGGATATAATCAGGTGACAGGAAATGAAATGAAGAAGAAAAGGATATAATCAGGTGAGAGGAAATGAAATGAAGAAGAAAGGATATAGTCAGGTGAGAGGAAATAAAATGAAGAAGAAAGGGATATAGTCAGATGACAGGAAATGAAATGAAGAAGAAAGTGATATAGTCAGATGAAAGGAAATGGAGAAATGAAGAAGAAAGGATATAGTCAGTGACAGGAAATGAATGAAGAAGAATGGGAAATGGAAGAATGAAGAAGAAAGGATATAATCAGGTGACAGGAAGAAAGGGAAGTGGGAGAGGAAAAAAGAAAAGGGATATAGTCAGGTGACAGGAAATGAAATGAAGAAGAAAGGGATATAAGAAGAAGATGACAGGAAATGAAATGAAAGAAGAAAGGGATATAGTGACAGGAAATGAAATGAAGAAGAAAAGAAAATGAAGAAGAAAGGGTCAGGTGACAGGAAATGAAATGAAGAAGAAAGGGATAGACATAGTCAGACAGGAAATGAAAGGAAATGAAATGAATAAAGAAAGATATAGCCAGATGAAGGAAATGAAATGAAGAAGAAAGGGATATAGTCAGGAGAGGGAAATGAAATGAAGAAAGAAAGGGATATAGTCAGGTGACAGGAAATGAAATGAAGAAGAAAGATATAGTCAGGTGACAGGAAATGAAATGAAGAAGAAAGTGATATAGTCAGGTGACAGGAAATGAAATGAAGAAGAAAGTGATATAGTCAGATGACAGGAAATGAAATGAAGAAGAAAGTGATATAGTCAGGTGACAGGAAATGAAATGAAGAAGAAAGGGATATAGTCAGGTGACAGGAAATGAAATGAAGAAGAAAGGGATATAGTCAGGTGACAGGAAATGAAATGAAGAAGAAAGGGATATAGTCAGGTGACAGGAAATGAAATGAAGAAGAAAGTGATATAGTCAGGTGACAGGAAATGAAATGAAGAAGAAAGGGATAAAAAGGAAATGAAAAGAAATGAAGATATAGATGACAGAAAGTGAAGAAGAAGGAAATGAAATGAAGAAGAAAG